TATTTTATTGTATCGATTTAATAAATAAAATATTTAAATGACATTTAAAGAAGCATTTTTATTCTCAAATTTATTTCATTATTGGGTCGATAATAATTTTAATAATTTTAACAAAATTTCGCTAAGTTTTTTTATTTTAAAATACTAAATCAATCTATTAATATCAAAGTGTTTCTGAACTTTGTACCGCATATCGCCATGCTATTTTCATTTCTCTCGAAAAAATTCATCAACTTGATAAATTATTAATTTAAGTCTGACCGAGTAAAATTATTATAAGTTTGCTTGGTTGACTGCTTTAATCGGCAAAATTTTATATCATTTTATGTTAAAATAATCTATTGAAAAGAATATTTTTTAAACAAATAAAAAAAGAAAACAAGAAAAATTCATATTTCAAAGAAATACACTTTATTGGAAGAAATATATCACTCTATATGGATATTATTGTTAGATTAATACTACTACGAACTTCGTTTCAAGAAATAAATTGGAATTCTGAATACGGTAAGTTTACCGGAATTTATTTTAGAAAATAATAAAAAATCAAAAGTTAGAAGAAAAACTTTTTTTTGCTCATTTCTAGCAATTTTCGTAATGTTTGAAGTATTAATATCGATCGAAAATTTTTGAAATATTTTCATCATCATCCTAAATTGGTAAAGAAAAAAGAATTAATTAATAAATTTATCTAAATGTTACTTCAAAGAATTACTGGTATATACTATTGCATTTTCCTATATGTGACGTTGTTTACATTCCTAATCTTTCATGAAAAAAAGACAATTACATGATAAATTCCAGATTTAAAAGCAGTGAAATGTGAAAATGTATATTTTCAAAGTCAATTAAAAAAATTATTCAACGAAAAATATAGTTTTAAAATTTACATAATTCGTCATTCTTTTAAATTCGTAAAGTAAACTTTAAAAATTTCCGAATATTTCGAATATTTTACATGACAATAAAAAAGTCAATTCAAATATTTCAAAATGGAAATAATCAACTTGAGAAAGACAATATGGGTTGTACTGATGGTATAGAAGAAAAAGAAGACAAAAAAAGTTTAGAAAAACCATGAAAAAAAAAAGCTTGACGAGCTGACAATTGGTTTTTGGGTTTAACTTGAACCGGTTCAAATTTTACATTTAAAACTTAAATTTGAGCCTACCAATATTAAACTATTAATTTATTCTTTACTCATACAATAAGCAGCACTTATTAGATTAACTACATTTTGTTGTTTGAATAAATTTAAAATCCTCTAAAAGTGAATGAATTCGAAAAAAGAATTTTACTTTACAGCTCGTCATCCTCCTCTGGAACAATGCACAGAAGTGATAAGGATGATTGAATTGTTGAGGGCTAATTGAAACCGGAGATCGTACGCACAGAAAAAACTCTTTTCTTTCCCTACAAATCGTTGCAGAAGATATGCTGGAGATGAAAAGGGATGGATTGAAATAGATGTCACAAAGATTAGTTAAGTAATATTTCAACTTTTAGATAAACTTTGAATAACTTTTATAAAAATCGAAAATGAAACAACACAGTTTGATCAATATTATTTTTAGCAAAATAAAAACAATAATTTATCTGATCCTTAAATTGCAAATACTTTTTTTTTAAATTTTTTTTTGCAGGTTGAATTGTGATTAAATAATACTGAAAAAGTTAAATTAAATTTGAAATCCCAAATAATTTTATCACCTTATTTCTTGTTTCTTGAAAAGTACCCGGAAAGGATTCGGAACAAGCAAAACTTCTGCATCGAATCAATAATTCCTACACACACATTCAGATACTTTCATGCAAAAACACCCACCCACATACACTTACACATGCGCACGTGGACATACATACACACCCACGCACATACACCCATACACATACAGATATACACGCACACACATGCATACACAAACAGACATACATACAGATAGAAATATTACAAATACAAATTACGATCTTTCTTTGGTTATTTTATGCAAATTTATTTGAAAAAAAAAGTTGAAAAATTAACAAAAGTTATACAAGACAAAAAAAAAGTCAAAAAAAAAAATTGGAAATGACAGCAAAACATAGTTGTTAGAAATAAACAAACATCAGGGTCAAAGGTGACGAATTTCATTTAACCCGGATTATTAGACATGAAGTGAAAATGTTCGAAAATTAGGAAGTAAACATCAACTTTCTAGATTGTAATATCATCAGGGAATACGTGAATACATTCATAACATACAATCTTGATAACAATTAGGCCTAATTAACCAGATGTATAAGCCTAAAATCTAGAAGAAAGAAGGAATGCAGATTGCAGATGTTTCTCTTAAAGTATGTATATGTCCTTCCTATTAGAAGAGACCTACAATTCACCGCGGTACCGGTGTTGTACTGGTAACACATTGCTCATCGCGGAGCGTTCCGCTACTTTCTTCATTATCCAAATCGATGATATGCATTTCACTACCGGTTGCTGGCCGACAACTTGTCGATTTCCAATGAGTTCGTAGGCCTGATGGAGAAATATACTTCTTTCCTGAAAATATCATCCTAAAAATCGAGAATGTTACATCCCCTCACGTAGGCCTATCAAAACAAAATCTAGCAAGGATGTAGTGCGGATTCCCATAGATGATAAACATAAGATAATAGCAAAAATTGTTGCACGATATTGTGCTTAAATTAAAAGAGATAAATTGAAATGAAATACTGAAAAGTAAAACTAGCAAAAATACCGCAACATGAACAATTGTACGGCCGTTCATTGGTGTGTAAACGTTTGTGAAGCTTCAAATGGACAAACTGAGTAAATTTGGCGCTACAAAGATCGCATGGATAAGGTTTTTGACCATTGTGAAGACGTAAATGTGTCTTCAAATTTGACATACTGCTAAAGCGTTTCTGACAGACATCACACTGATGCGGTTTCTCACCTTAACAATAAATTTCGTTTAATTCAGTTCCTGATCTAATTGTATTTTATTAATCTGATACATTTGATAAGATTTAATAGACGAAATTGATAATGGATAAAATAAATATTTCAATTTGAAATTTTTGAATAAAAATTATATATTGAATTAACAGAAAAAAAAAA